CCTTTAGTTACGGGATACTAAAAAAAAATTATTGTGTACGGTACTATTCACAAGTTAGTCGATAAAATACACGTTAATTTTATTTTTTAGTTAAACTTATTGTCAAATATTATGTTTGGTAAAATTCATTTGTATCTAACATTTAAAAGTACGTCGATAATTATGTCATGTTAATAAGAAATGTATTGTATCGATTCAAATTTACTGGACGTAAGTACTCTTTTCATAGCTAATAGATTAACCGTTTAAGTTCCACGAACAGTTGCAGGAATACTTTTGAAAAATGCCGCACAGCGCATTAACGCTTCTATTGTTTTATGTGTACATACTAAACCACGATTATGTAATTTTATTATACTTATACTAGCTGTTTGCAGTTTTTGCATTTATGTGACACATTCGGTTTTGAACTTTTTCTCATAAAATGTTCAACAATTTGTAGCCTTTCAAATTCGAGTGCATAATTAATGGACCTGCTCTGCCAAGATCATATCTCTTCACATGAAACATTAGAAACAAAATTGCGCTGCCTAGCACTCCAACGATTAACATGTTTTTATATCTTTAATATTAATATTTGCAATATCTGTTTAATATTAATTTTAACGCATACCACGCCAGAAAAAAGGCCTTGCAAAGTATTCAACGTTTCTGTTTCTTTAGTGAAACGTAAGGCTGTAAATTTATTTATTTTTGCGTTGTCAAGCTGCTCGCACACATTTTGCAATTCTTGTTGGACAGTTTTCGTATCTTCTCTTTGTTTAGCAATTAGATTTTCTAAATTACTCTTTGTGTTTATTTTATCGGTTAATGTACCTTCGATTTCATTTATGCATTGTTGAATCTTTCTGAAACATTTTTCTGTTTCATCTTTTAAAATATTCTTCTGTTGTAATTTAGCTTCGAATTCAAATTTTTTCCTATTTTCGTTATCGAGTTTATTTTGATTTACACTTTGTTCACGTTTGAGGGAATTACAAGCTTGTACGTTCTCGTAGGACTGGATTCCAACTATTTCTTTCAAATGAAAATACTCTTCTACCTTTAAAAATACATAAACTTCATTAATTAAACTTGTTAATTATAATGAAACCATACAGATAAGTGTGTGCATAAGTATATTACATACATTATCTCTCCATATACTATCCTATTGTTACATTGTAATATTAATTCATAAAAATGTAATATGAAATTTTTAACATTTGTAAAAGTGTTTCAATAATTCCATACTTTAATGATCAAATAATATATCAAGTAATTATTTATAAAAATCAATTTGAAATTACTGTTTAATTACTAGTAATTGATAAGTAAACCATGCAAGCAGTATTCGTCATATATTCATTATATTTTTAAATATTCATATACAGGGTGTTCGTCAAATGGTGGGAAAAATTTTAAAGGGTGATTTTACAAGCCAGAATAAGACGAAAATCAAGAATATATTTACAGGTAAAAATTCAAACGTTATGATTGAACATAATAATGTAACAACAAAATAGAAAGATTATTCAAAAGATATAAAACTATTGATTATTATCTAAAAATATTGCATATTGTATTATCTACAAATACAGTGGAACCTCGATAACTCAAAAACCTCTGTAACACGAAAATTTTCATCATTCCCTTCCGCTCTGCTGTAAAAATCTCTACAACTCGAAATAAACCTCGGTTAATTCGAATTATTTGTCGCATATTTAATATGTATTTAAGACTTCTGCAAGTCGAAGTTAAATTCTACATATCAGTTAATCGATCTAATAGGATCAACGATTGAACGATCGTCAATTATTTATTTCATTATAGAGATAAACAGTGCACGCATTTTAATCATAAAAGCAGTTTGTTGTGAAAAATCGAAGGAATAAGTTAAATCACAGTCCTATCGTTTTTCATTATTTTCTCCGGATTATATGTAACAAAATGAATTCTAAACGCAAGCGGAAAACATTAACATTGGCTGATAAAATGAACATAATTGAAACAGTAAAAACTGGATGAAGAAAGGAAAAGGATATTGCTAATGATCTCTCTTACTCGAAAACTCGATAAGTCGAAACCTCTGTAACTCGAAGATTTTTTCCCTTCCCTTGAGGGTTCGAGTTATCAAGGTTCCACTGTATTTCCTTAAATACAACTGTACTTGTGTATCATTAAGTGCAATGCTGCTGCCCTGAGATAATATCTGGGTTGTCGCATTTTCTTCGAATACAGTTCTTATATTTTCTACTTGTATTAATTCACTTTCTAATTCTTTTATCGTTTTTATATGTGAATTATGTGATTTGCGTGCTTCCAACAACAATAAATTCGTGGAATTGATCTTTTGCTCCCAATATAAAGCTTTTTCTACAATTTGTGTAAACTTTGTTTCTTTCTTTTTTAAATCATTTTCCACTTTTACAAGCTCTTGTTCTGTATTCTCTAAAT